GAGAAACGAGAATCGATGGAATGGTCAGCACGATCTCCTTATCTGCCACCATTAGACTTCTTATGGGGATATGTAATAATATTGTATACAAAACCAAACTCCTCGACTTCGCTGACTTAAGGTCACGCCTGAGATGTTGAGCAACGTTAGAATAAATTTCTATTTAAGATTAGGATGTTGCCGAGACGTTCGCGGGGAGCATATTGAACATCTCCTACATCGACATTAATGTTTTTTTTGCTTTTTTACTTTATAAATACTAAATAAACAGTATTACTTATTAGATTTTGAGTGTATTGTAGCAAATTTCTGTAATCAAATAATTTTCTTTTTTAATGTTAATTTTTGCAATAAATCTGAAAACACTTAATATTTCCGAAACAGTTGAAGATAGGTGTAGGACATTGTACATGAAATATGTCTAGAAATTTTTTCAAAATTTTGACAGTTTTGGTAAGATTTTTCTTTAAAAAATTTACATTTCGTTGAATTCGATAAATTGAACAGTTCTCGAGATAAATCGGTTTTGAAACAGCAGCAACAACTAGAAACATTTTTTTAAACGTACCTATTTAGTTTATTTAACGTTTCCAAAATCTTTGAAATTGTTGATTATATCTTAAGAAAGATATGCAAAAAATGAAAGAAACATTTACATGAAATATATATCACTTCTACAAGTGTGCAAAATCACCCCCTCGTATACTTTTTTATTATACAAATGTTTTTCCATAAAATAGTAGTCCAGACTTGTTGCTAATCTGTGTTATTCTCTTCAAAATTCTTTTCTAGTAAGCGTTGAACGAATGACTTATTTTGGTTGATACCACAGAAGAGTTTCATGGGTTTAGGTCAGGCGATCTAGGTGTCCATAAAACGGGCCCGCCTGTATCTACATATCGATAATTAAATGCTTGTTTTAAGCATCGATACAGTAAACGATACAATAAATGTTTATTTTTAATCTTTTTCTTGTCTCTGTTGAGCTTTTCCATATGTTTTAGGTCTTGTAAAAAATTAAACACTAGTTGTTGCTGCCTTTGTACTTATTATTTCAATTGTTGTTCCAAACGTCTATTATATAATAGCATCCATTTTATCGAATGCGGTAGTAACATTTTGGAAACATCAAACTTGGTAAGTAACTATAGTAAGACCATTTTATTTCTGTTTGATTTAATGCAATATGTTTATTTGTTTTTTGCATTCACAATTTTATATGTAATCACAATAACCATACACAAGCTGACGCCAATATTTTTTCTGTTTTGAATACTTTATTTTTTTATTAATATCAACGGTGATATGCATGCCATTGATGCTGTTACCATACAAACTACTCCATAACCTTTGCTTGACACATAAAGAAATGGCCAATGTGATAATGAAACTGATACGTATCTGTTGATTTTGTTTTTTCATAAGTACGTCACCTTTGCTAATATCGTGTATGTGTCGACAGAGATTAATTTTTCCGAATGTCAAGTTTATCCACCAAATATAAATGTCAGCAATCTCAGGGCCGGCAAAATAATTATTATTTTACATATTACATGAATTTCAGATGAGATGATCGAAAGATAGCTAAGATAGCTGTTAGCATTGGAATTAAATCATTGAAATACTGGTTGGTGTCTTGCAATCTTTTTTTAACAAATGATGTGTACCTTCATGGCAAAGGTAGTTCAGCTTTTTTTTAGTTTTGATAGAGAATATACTGCAGAACTTATTGATGTTATACAAGTTCAATAAAATTGAAGGGTTCTAAATAAACAAAATTAATTTTGGAGGCGTCTTTCACGATGTAAATTTACTAAAATAATATATGTTGTTACAAAAACTCTTCTATTTAGTACTACCTAAACATTGAATATAAATTTAAGATAAACTTTGCTGCCATATGAAATTATTAGTGTTTGGTAGAATATTTATAGTCTATAAACAAATGCACTGCATATCTAACCTAACCTAACCTAACTAAATAAAGTACGATTAATATATTTACCAACATATTTTTAGAAACAAGTTTTTCTCCTTATTATAAAAAATAGTTACATATTGTTTTAAATTGCTTCTGGTATGCTTAAGAAAAGGAAAAATATTTTTATCCCGATCTTAGATAAATTGAAAATATGTCCTTCTATTACTTACAATTTGCTTAGAGAACAAATTTATAGCATAATCAACAAAATGTAAAATTAAATTAGATAATATTGAGAATAACCGGGAGAATAAGCAGTTTCATTAAAGAATAATAATATTATAAACTTTGTTCGAAGTGACACATCAAAAATGTTAATAGGATTTCCCGAAACAATGTCTATTATGCTATTATCTTCTTGTTCTGGACATCACCGAACATCGAAGGCTATACGTTAAAAGTAATACCTTCGCCATTTCTATAAATTTTGTACCGGACATAGATTCAATCAGTTTCATATAGGTACATATGAAATTTAATAGATGGAAAAATCTGTCATGAATTAGTAAACTATTAGATTATTGTTTTTTACAATTTTTCAAAATCAAAGAAGAAATAAACATTTTGTAAACAGAACATGTTAATAAGGTCTGTAATAAGATAACTTACAAATCCAAAATACTTTCCAGCAGATACAGGGTTGGAAAGTCCCCATGGTTCATCGGCCGTTACGTGAGAGCGATAAAGAAAGCCATAGAAATCCGTGCGATAGAGAAAGATGGCTATAATGAAGGCGTCTAATTATTATTAGACCGCCCATTATTAGACGCTTTCATTATAGCCATCTTTCTCTATCGCACGGATTTCTATGACTCTTTATCGCTCTCACCTAACGGCCGATGAACCATGGGGACTTTCCGACCCTGTATAGATAAAATTAGAGCAAACATATGGACTCCAAACATCTATGTAATCAAAAGGCAAGTTTTGCGGTGAGAACTTCCAAAAAAGTAGACAAATATTTTTAATTACATTTTCGAAACCCTAATATTAAAAATATACAATAATTAATTTTAAAAAAATCCAAAACTTGACCCTGAAAATGTTTTCCATAGTATAGTATTTCAAAAAGGTCACAAATTACTTCAGGCTCAGTTATAATTCATTATTTTATTGAAATATATGCTCGTCTTCTTAGAACTATTTTATAAACATACAATTTCCTGTAATTTTTAAACTAAGTTTGTAATTTATTCAATTAAATTCGCAATATAGTAAACATAATTATGTATTTATAAATTATTTATACTTATATTCTTGATATTTTGATGGTAATGTTATTAAACTGCAACGGTTCTTTAAATAATAAGATAAATTCTACACAAAACTTATTTTGTTAATTTTAGAACAAAGTGAACACTTCTTCTAGAACATATAAAGATTAAAATTTATTAATGTAATATTTTAACTTAAAACATTAATTTTTATGTACAGCTAGGAGCGTCCACAGCAACCAGTTACCAAAACATTATTTTGAAAATAACTTAATACTTATTCTTAAGGAAATTAAATATAAAAGGACATATGTGTCCCTTAGATTAAATTAACAAATACCTATGTTTAATAATAATTTAGCGATTTTTCAACAGTTGTCCCTTTGACATTATCCTTAAAAACTCATCCAGAGAATACCTATTTTTAAAATAGAGACAGAAAAATAATGTTATATATCTCTATAGCAAAAATAAACCGCCGTTAGTTAAGGTTAGCAATAAATTATACACGGTGTGAAAAATGTAACTAAAGCTTCTTCTTGTCAAAACAAACAATATTTAAATGTTTCCTAAAAAAATTACGAGTCTTCAAATAATTTCTTCTAATTCATATTGTTGGATAATCGGTTTTTTAAGATCTTTCAGTGAAATTTGGTGTATGGTTTAAAATACAGAGGTCGCTAAGAAAACCTGGAACATTTTTTTACTGGTCATAATTTTTGTTACTTGAGATTTAGGTGTTTTATGAATCGTCAGTTTATTTGTTGTAAAAAATTGTTATATTTGTTGCATTTGCTAAAATATTTCGTTTCAGAGAAAATTGGAATTCAATTTTCCACTGTAATTATGAGAGTATTGACGGGTAATTAATAATTTTATTTTCAACCTTTTGCACATTTTGTGCTTCTGCTACCTTTTTTTTTAAAATTTGAATCATGCCTACTGTGACATAGGAATCTAAATTTTCTTTTATAAATACATTAGGTATACATTACACATTTGTACCATCTTTACATCTATCTATAAATTCTATCTAACATCATACATCTATTTAACATTTATACATCTATACATCTATCTATACAGGGTGATTCACAAATGGTGACCAAAAATGAAGCCTCGTATTCCTCGAATTTTAAGGGGTCTTTCGTATAAAGTTTTTATCTGGAACGCTTCGTTAAAAAGATACAGGGTATTAAACTTAAAAAAATATTTTTAATTTTTTTAAATTATTTAAAAATTACTAAGTGAAATTGATTTGAAATTCGGTACAGGTAGAAGTATTTAAGTAGTAGTTTTCAGTTCGTTTTACTCGAAAATCAGGCTTTTTTCAAAAAAACATAAGAGAGTAATAATTTGTAGAAAATTGAAACACGAATAAAATATCATGATTGTTACCGCAAAGCTGTAGCGTACTATTTTATTTAGAAAAATATGACACCGGTACTCCGTATCCCCGCCACTGAAGCATATAAATTTTTAGAAAAAACCTCAGATTTTGGATAATGGATATATTTTATAATAATATGAACCAGTTGTTTTGTAGATTTATGGGTTCGAATTTCCTTATTTTTATTTCATTATTTGCACAAGTCTGCATATTTAATTTATCACTGATAAATATGTAAATAGTTTCCGGGGTTCTAAACAGTATTTAACGTTATTTTTTGTGTATGTATTTTTGAGCAAATAATTTATGTACTTGACTGTAATATTTTACTCGTTTACTTCTCGATTTTCAGTGTTAAGGGTTGAAGGATGGTATAAAACAAAAAAGGGATATTATTTAATATACAATGACTTACAATTTTCTTATCCTCGGTTTTGTCAATGACGTCCTGTAGGGAGGTTTCCCTTTCCAACAAGACATGATACTCCTCACTAGAGTCCGACTGGCAACTACTAACACTCGAAATAGACACTTGCGAGGACTTCCTCTTCTTCCTGAAGGCCAAATTATTGTTGATTTCGATCAAGTCCATCCTGGTAAGATCCACGGCGAGCGGTGAGATTTCGTTCATTTCACGGGGTTGCTGAATTTTTGACGAACTGTACCCGTTTCGGTCGCAGAATTTAACTTTTGCTGTTCAGACGGCAGCAAGTTAATGCGATAGCAAAGTCGCGACTTTGAAATTGAAATCGCCGACTTATCCCCTCTCCAGCACCGCTTGTTAGTTAGCCGTGATTTAATGTTAACGTCGAGACTTAAACAGTTTTTCTTAATTTGTATAAAATTATATCATTCCATAAAGACTGCAACTGCTATGCTCTATTACTGTTAATTCGTTGCACAGGGACGGACTCACTCCTTTTAATGTTAAACAAACAATTTCAGGCAATCCTTCTCACTACCTATATTAGGTTTAAAATAATTGAATGATTGTAAGAGGGGAACTACCATTAGTAATTATTTTCTACATACCATTTTTGTATTTGGCTGATGATACTGCGGGAAATAACTATATTCTGCGGACTAATGTCCCGACAAACACTGAATTATATCTGCAATGATCAATAAACAATTACGTTAGCAGAAATACCTGACATAGGTATATCTTTTTATTTAGCAACATCATTATGGTTAGAAAGAATGGACTTACGGAAATACGATAGAATTTAGTTAAAGAATAAAACATACCTACTAGTGTCACCAAACTGTTTATTTATTTATCTTGTTTTCATCGACTACTGAACTCAAAGTTTTAAATCCGTGACACTGCTCCGTAAATCGAAACATACAGACCTGCAAATAATGCCATTTTTCTCAAGAATGGCTTTCTGTAGGCGATTTTCGCAAGAGGCAATATTTTTTTTTAAATAAAACGACCTTTTCAATGTTGCTGCCCGTTTGACTAAAGTTTTCAGAAATAATACGTCATAATAGTCCAAATAAATGTGGCATATTTTAACGCGATCGGTAAAAGGGTTATAAAGTTATTAATTAATTAGTTTTACTTTTGATAACTTTGAAGGCCTGTAACTCAAAAACCAAAAAGTTTTTATTTAACTTTTTTCGTAGATCGTATTTATTTATCGTCGTGAATATGTAGTCAAACGTTGTCGGTGAAATTTACGGACACCCTTGTATAGCGGCAGACTAATCATAAGTCATACTAAGTTTTACTTAAATATCTTTATTAGCTTTCAAGATCTCAAGAAATACTTTAATTTTTTTTGGAATCCTTAATTTTACAGGAGGGACATGTCCTCAAAGTTTGAACACTTATTTTAGAAATTTAGTATACATCTGGATAAATTGCTCTAATATGCATTAATTAATTTTTGTTTATATATTTCGTAACAAAGATCAAGTTAATTTCTCATTTAAATTTTTGGAAAAATGTTTACATGAAAAACCCTATTTATTTCCAAAAGTACTACCACATACTCTCGAATCCACCGTTAAATCTAACAACCTGTATATGATAGAGGATGGTATAAGTCAATGGAATTAATCTTATATAGAATTGTAGATTTACTGGGAAGCAATATGCAACCAGCTTTACGATGATACGATTTGTCCATGTAAGACTAATATATACAGGGTGATTCACAAATGGTGACCAAAAATGAAACCTCGTATACTTTGGTGAATATTAAGGGGTCTTTCCTATTACGTATTTATCTAGGACGCTACGTTAAAAAGATACAGGGTGTTAAACTTCAAAAAACATTTTAAATTGTTTTAAATAATTTAAAAACTAGTAAGTGAAATAATTTGGAATTGGACACAGGTATTTATGTAAACATTATCCAAAGTTTGAGGGCTTTTCATAAAATTTACATGCTCCAGTGGCGTAGATACAGGGTTCCGGTGGTACATTTTTCTAAATAAAATAGTACGTCACTGCTTTACGGTAACAACCATGATGTATTTTTTAGCATTTACTCAAATAAAATCATTAAAATGATGACTAGTGTTATTAATTTCTTTATTCGAATAAATAACCAAATGATTTGTAGAAAATTGAAAGATGAATCCGAAAATATCGTGGTTGTTACCGTAAAGCAGTGGCGTACTATTTTATTTAGAAAAATATGCCACCGATACCTCGTATCTCCGCCAATGGCGCATATAAATTTTAGGAAAAGGCCTCACATTTTGGACAATGTTTTCATAAATACATGCATGCCCAATTTCAAATTATTTGACTTCCTAGTTTTTAAATTATAGATAAAAACTTTATAGGAAAGACTCCCCTTAAAATTCACCAAACAATACGAGGTTTCATTTTTGGTCACCATTTGTGAATCTATTAGTCTTACAATTGTTATTTATATACGGGGTATATAAATATTCGACAGTCAAAAAAAGAAGTATAATTTTAATCAAAATTATTTAGATGTATTCCTGTAATGAGAATAAAATTACTAAAATAGTTTAAATTTAACCACAGAGAGTAATCGGGAAGAAGTTTGGGTGCACTAAGTTCAAATTAGTACATTTACACAACAGAAGTGTATACCTATGTGAATTTATTATTATTATTCTTATTATATAGAGTATAACAAAATGGTTTCTAAAAAGCACTTTTATATATGACAAAATAACAAAAAACCAAATCAAGTATGTTGCCATAATGGTGACTAAAGCTTGGGAAAGGAGAAAGGCGTGGCCCCTTGGGATTCCCTCTGTTGTTCCACTGAATTTAATTCCTGATAAGACAAAAAAAATCGTATAATTGGTACAAATCAATTATCTTCGCTATTTTATTTATTTTTGTTTAATTATTAATTATTGCATACACAAAAGTGACTATTACAAAGTTTTAATGGGGACACATTCAAGAAATTATAACAAATATAGATTCATCTCCCTACCCAACAGTTGCTCACTTAAAAAATTTAAAGGAAACGTAGGGGGTTAGGCAAATGATACCTATTTTATAACGTCTTCTGGTTGCCTACACTGCTGTATTCTTTTAAATGTTATTTATTTGGATGATTTTTTAATTTAGAAATGGAAAGAGAAACAAAAAGAGGAATGCAAATTAATGAATGTCACTACCTTCATGCTCTATAAATAAGTGGCGGACTTTCCTGAACATATCTGAAGTCGCACCGATCATTATTAGTGAAAATAATACCTATTTGAAAACCCATCAGTAGATTAAATAAAAAATGGTTCTATATGTGCTATTTTAAATTTCCATTTCGCAAATTTCACTTGCAATAGAACTTAAAAAATAGAATCGGTCCAATAAAGTCTTTACTAAAATATGACTACCTCAATTTTCACCAGTTGCTACCATTCATCTTTTTAATTAAAATGTGTCACGAGCATCTGGGGTGACTATACTTTCAGTTAGTGTATTAAATAATATGCACTAATTGCAATACTCTACCATATAGATCAAAAATAAATTTTCAATTCAGATTAGATAAAATTCTTGTTATCCTATTATTTTTAATGACAATCAATATTTATCTTTTCTCAAAATTATATCAGTTCAATAAATCCATGGTTGAAGAAATCGTGAACATGTAATAAATCCTAAATTAATATAGATATATAAAATTTTTTACAACTGTTCTTGCAATTAATTAAAATCAACTGGTTATACCATTACAATGTATCAGCACTCAAAATAAATTGCGCATTGAATGGGGCACAATTTATTTATTACTTTGATTCAATGTAAAATTATACAAAGTGATTCTGAAATCAGTGTGTTCCTTCAGAAGCAACATATAACATATTTTAAACAAAAATTTCAATGAATGTGGGTCATAGTCCGCTTCATTTTCGAGATACAGGGTGTTGATATTAGATCAAAGTTATTATTATTAGTATTTTCTGACATATCTTTGACGATTTTTGATGCGTAGACTGACCACTGGTACAGGTAAAAACACACTACGTTGACTTACAAATATGTCAACCAACGAAAGATATATGAGAGGTCAGTAGAATTAGAAGTTTCAAAATGTTGACACCTACAAGTCATTTTTAAGAAAAAAATCTCTTAAGTGTGTTTGAAGCATATGCGATTATGGATTTATTTTATTTTTACATTGAAGAGAGCTTACAACACAGTAAGTAAATCGAAAGAAACTCTAAAACTATTCATTCCACATTTATAGAAATTTTAAGTACAACATAATATGCTAAAAGTTCAAAAAATCATTGGCGTAGAAATTTTGATATGTTTTTAGGGGCTATTTCCTTTTATAAAATTTAAATTTTCCATTTCCAAGATTTTTTTAACTTTTGACACATTTAAACGTATTTAAAATTGTAGTTCTAAAAAGAAATTCTCATAAGTTGTTTTTGTATAACGAATAGTTCTAGATTTATTTTAAATTTACTTAATTGCATTTATAAGATCAGAACTCTAAAATCTAAAATCACTCATTCTTTGAACAAAATGTAAGGGATATCTTTCCTTAATTATTTAATTGGTATAAAACGAAATAATCAAATTTGAATCGATCCGAATCCAGCACTGATTGACACATTTGTAAGTCAGCTTAGAGGATTTTCACATTTACATAGATAAATCAGTGCCCATCAATCTGCATAAAATATCCTCAGACATTCTTTTAACACCCTGTATCTCGGAAACGAGGCACATCAACACCCACATTAGTATGAAACTTTTTGCTATAATTTGTTGTTGGTGTTACAAATTAGTATAGGTCTTGCAGTTTAACCATATATTCTTTGGACTACAATAATGGGACTTTTTTTATCCCAATTTTCATTTCAGAGACCCATTTTCAAAATACAGTGTCAAAATTAAAATTTAGAAAATTATTTTTATTTATAACTCCAGTGATTGTATAGCTATTTATTTGAAATTTAACACATATATCAAAGCCCGAATGGAGGGGGTTGCAGTAGCCATATGGACCTCTCTATTTTTTTTGATTTTTAGATAACGCGGCGTTTTATTCCATTTTTTTCACTCTTGTAAGATTTTGGGCTCGGTTTACGAGATATTTTAACTTTCGTGGATACGGGACATCAATTTAGTGGACGTTAGACTTTAATTTTAGGGATTTTATGAAAAATTCCTTTTATATGGTACCAATACTAACTAAACAACAGTTAAAAAATGAATTGTAAGAGGTAAAGAGCACTTTAGACTGAAACCACATATTTTGTTTTGGGGCTTGCTGTACGAGATATTGCAACTTTTTGTCATATACAAGCTAAATCTAACATATTTAGATTTAACTTAAATTAAATATCGCTGATCATGATGGTTCCATTTCTATTTTATTCAGTAAATTAAAATAAATAACGACTCAAATCTTTCATATAGCCCCAAAAAATAATGTCTAATGTTGACTAAATCGATGTTTTTTATCTAAAAAAGTAACAATATCTCATAAACGAGCCTCCAAATCAAAATCTTACAAGAGTGAAAAAAATAGAAAACGCTGCTTTATCTAAAAAGAAAATATTCGGAAAGCATAGGTGCATTCAAAAAAAAATTAAGGGGTTCATGGGTACTGCAACCCCCTCCCCTCCGTTCGTGTTTTGATATTTTAAACCAAATTTATATAAAAAATGTGCCAACTGAAGATGAAAATATGTGCTAAATTTCAAATAAATATTTCTACAATCACCGGAGTTATCAAAAAATATTATTTTTAAAATTTTAATTTTGACACCCTGTATTTTGAAAATGGGGCTTCAAAATGAAAAGTGGTATAAGAAAAATCCCATTAGTTTACTCCAAAGGATATGTGGTTAACGGGTTGACCTACTAATTTGTAACACCCTGTATTACCCCTTTGAAAAAATACATTTATTTTAGAACCACCCTGTGTATTAAGTATAATTTTCACAAATTTTTACGTTCAAAATTATTTAGCGTTGCCACTAGGGTGGCCCAAAAAAAACGAATATTTTTTTTCGTGTCTTGTGAAAATATGTTAGTTTATCATGTTTTAAGAGCCCCCTCAAAAAATCAGCTAAAAAAAAATTTTTTTAGAGGTTACTCAACATTTTTAAAAATTTCCAAAATCGTCAAAAATTGATTTTTTTTAATTTTTTTCTCATTATTTTATCATTTTCTAGGTTAAATAAAATCTCGATTCTGAAAATTGGAAATCGAAAGGGCACTCATAATTATTTTAACTTTCAAAGTAGTGTAGGTACCTAAAATGTTTTCGAGCGACCTCTAAAAAAAAATATCAACGAATTAATAATTGTTTTATTGAATTTGATGAACAAAAGAATATAAATAAATCACGAGACACTTAAATTTTAAAAAATTATAAATATTTGACTCAGTACGGTAGTAAATTTTGCTTCGAGAAATTTTTTAAGTGTCTCGTGACTTATTTCTATTCCTTTGTTCATCAAATTCAATAAAAAAATTATTAGTCCGTTGATATTTATTTTTAGAGGTCGTTCGAAAACATTTTAGGTACACTACTTTGGAAGTTAAAATAATTATGAGTGGCCTTTAGATATTAAAATATTGATTCCAAATTTTCAGAATCGAGATTTTTTTCAACCTAGAAAATGATAAAATAACGAGAAAAAAAATTTAAAAAAAATTCAATTTTTTACGATTTTGGAAATTATTAAAAATCTTGAGCAACCCCTAAAAAAATTTTTCTTGAGCTGATTTTTTCAGGGGGGTCTTAAAACATGATAAACTAACATATTTTCACAAGAGACACCCTAGTGGCCACTTTTGTGTAGACACCCTGTATAATAAATATGTACTTATACTGTATAATAAATTTTTAATTCCAATTAGATAAAAATCTTGTAATCTTATCCTTTTCAAAAATTATTACTTATCTTTTCTTAAAAATATAGAGATTCAATAAATTCACGTTTTGAGAAATCATAGATAGATAAAATATTCACCCCATTAATTTTCTAAACAATATAATAAAATCGACTGAAAAACTACTAAAATGTAACACTGCATAAAACAAACTACACGTTTACTGGGACATAAAAAGCTGCACCTTTTATTTAGAATTTAGTTTCAATATCGGCATAAAATGTAAAAAGAAATTACATAATAAGTACAGGTTTCGACTAAGTGCTTGGAATTTTTTCAGTATTTTCAGTAGTGCATGCAGTGAATCTCTACGTTTCTTCTTAGAGAGCAAATAAATAGTAGCTAGAATAATCAGCATATGATTATTTTTCACCTTCTTCTTGTCGATGTTTAGAATAATTTAGCACAAAGTTTAAAATAGCCCTGGGTACGTTCATTGTCTGGTCGTCTTCTAGTACGATATCAAAAGTGTCCATGTACTTTGGCAGGTACTCTTCACTCTGAAAAATTATTTATTTTCTACTAACAAAAAACATATTTGGCATAAATCTCAAATATTTTATTATTTATGAAAAAATCTTATCTAAGATTGTACTAGTCCTTATCAAAATATATTGCACAGTGTAGAAATATTACCCGTTCATAGAGAAATCCAATTTTCAACACATTTTCCAAATGATCCATTCCCTCCGTCATCCCAGCATCACCGATGGAATCTCCCAACAATATCACATTACTTCTTTCTACTATTTTATTATAGAATTCAGTTCCTTTTATAGCAAATTCATTTTTATTATAACAGTGAATAAGCCTGTCCTTAAAACCCATAATCTTTCCCTCATCGCTGTATTTTAAAAAGTTTGATATGACCTAGAGGAAAAAAACATTGACGTACACCCAAACTAAAATATTTTTTATTTTAGTGAGACTAATTACCCCTCCTTATTCTAATTAATTTTCTTCATAACAATATAAAATGTCGACAGTTATATTCGACAAAATTAATGAGGAAACGAATTAGTTTATTTTTTTTGTAAATGTCACATTGAAATTTTACAGATAACATAATTTTAAAATATTGCAAAGAAACGGACTAACCTCAACATTAGGTAATAGAACATTACAATGTTTTAGAACAGCTACGACAGTATCGCCTAGTCCAGCTGAAAATACCAGTACCGGAATCTGAACTTCATTAAAAGAATCGAACAACTCTTTTGAGCCCTCCCTAAAAAATTACAAAAATGGTAAGTAGTTTACATCTTAACAAATCTTATTCCTCACCTTAGAGAAGGTCCAATTTCAAAACAAACATCCTCGAGTTCCTTAGGACTAACTTGCAATCCCCTAAAATTCAAAATGTTCAAACATTATGGTAATACTTAAAATCAAACTCATTACACTAAAGCTTTTTCTGAAAGCAACCACCACTCTTCCATCAGAATACTTTTTTCTTCAATGGGCATTGTAGGATCATTTTCAATAGGTCTGTATTTTTTAGCCAAAACATCAACGGTTTTTAAATGTTCTTCAGAAACCGAGGGACACTTGCTGAACATTCCTAAAGAGAAATTCTGTAACTATTTCGAAAGAGACTTTCAGTAATACAAATTGATCTTACCAAAGCTGCTTAGATGAATTTTGCCGTTTTCATGCTGTTTGGTTATTGTTTTGTCAAAATCAGACAAAACATGAAGTTTATTAGGCCCCCCAGTTATTAATCCATGGATTACATTATTAACCTGATCAACATTTTTAATATGGACATGACTATCATTCAGTTCAGTTATTTCCTTTACGAAATTTCTCATGTTTTTTACCATTTTATGCCGAGAGATTTAACCTAAAATGTACCAAATTGTGAGGTTAGAGTTAACTGCACTGCTGCCAGCGCAGGCGTTAGCTTTTAAAATCAATGGTGCTGGTTAGTGGTTACACCCAATGTTGCCAAATATAAATTATAAAAGAAAATGGTGGTACACGTTGTTACCAGGTCTGTTCCAACAAGAGTCAGGGATTGGTTTCCAACCGTTTGAAATGTTTGGCCAGCTAAGTTCTAAATGTGTCTTCACTGAATATATCGCAAGAATTAGTTGGATGCACATTTCAAACAGTTCGGAACCAATTCCTGACTCATGTTGGAACAGACCTACTGTTACAATTCAATATAGAAGATTAAAATAACTTTTGTACAAAATTGGTGAAATTAAATAAACTTCTATTGAGTTTCATGAATTTTATTTTTGGTTTGTGATTTTTTAACGTTTTGCTAATAAACAAAGAATTGACTAATAAAAAGTAAGGCCGGTGTCCCATGCATNTAGGTCGGTGATTAAAAGGAAAGAAAGGGATTCTTTCCAGGTAGCCTTAATAAAGGCAGGTAGAATTTGCTCCTTGCACTACACTTTCACAAAACACGTGTGTTCTGGTCGGCTGCCCGCTAGGAACTGGATGCATGGGACACCGGCCTAAATCATTTTATACAATTTGTTTGTCATTTTAAGGTAAAAAATCTTCCTAGTCTATTATTTTTTTTAATTTTATTAGAATATATTTAATAATGCATATTTAATGCGGAAAGGAAATGTCACTACAATTTGACCGAATTTCTTTTTCCTTCCTCTAGAAAGAAAAGTTGGCTAGCGGAATTCCGCTACCGTTGGCAACAATGGCTGCTTCTCTTACTGACCCATGGAGACTACACAATGAAAGTTGCGTTCTACTGCATCACTCTAGTTCAATTAGAGTACTTACGTATGTTCTTTTATTTTAATTAAAATATTCATATCAAAATAAAGATATTATTTTCTATAAATATTCTTAAGTAACACATAACACATTTATTCATTCTAATATTCAAAATAATCAACAATTATTACTGCTCGACATTGATTCTTTAGATCTTAAAGTCACTAAACATTTTGTAGTAATTACTAGAAAATACAATGCTAATAATCGGCTTCAACATTGTATGTACAAAATTATATAATGAGTAGGTAGCTAAAATTGCTCACAACGATTTGTCATACAGTATTATATTAAATACTCGTATATATTTGAATTTAAGTGACTTAATTCAGATTGTAATTAATTATTTATTTGGAAATTACAATAAATTTTGTTAAATTCATATCACAATTTTTTAAACAATTTCTTCTTTGTTCGTCAAAATTGTATTTCCCTGAATGGTACAATGAAGTAGTTTCTTTCAACCGCAGAAAAATGGAAACGTTTATTTCTTCAAAAATATACATTTTGAACTATATTTAAGGCAAGTTCGGTACCTATTAACATCTAGACGCTCCAGATGTGTTTTGTTCTTTTCTAATTGTAAGGGATGAAAAGACAAAGAGATATATCTAGAGCATCTAGATGTCAATACCGAACTTGCCTTTGGTGAACAAATTAGTATATTTAAACGCCTGTCCTCCGTTAGAGGTCGCTACAGTCTCTTCGATAACAGCTCCATAAAAAAAGTATCGGATCTGGTATTCAGACCCATGCATTTCCATATATTTTTTTCCGCTGAATCCGAATCTGCCTTCAGATTTGGCCCAACGGGTTCTGAGTTTTCGGGAAAATTCAAAAAACAGGTCAAAATTCACAAAAAACGTCATTTACGATCGACGAAAGTTATAAAAAATAAAATTATTCCAGCTCACTAGACGTATGATTTTTTACTCGTTTAATTCCATTTTATCATCATAGAGTCAGACAAACTGGTCCAATTTCATTCAAAAACAGAAAATAGATCAAAATGCTTAAAAACGCCATTTTTATGGCATAATTCGTGTTGCAGAGTTCCATCCATCCATCTTTTTATCCACCCACCTATTTATGAATTCATACATATTTCTATCCAGTCGTTCATGCATGAATACGCATATTTATCCATCCACCTGTACCACCTATAAAACCCACCCATCCACCTATCTATCCATCTACTTTTTGTGCTGAGAAATGTGATAACAGCCTGAAAGATTGAGAATACAATAAAATTTGTAGAATACTCTATTTTCTAAACAAAAGAAAACGATATCTACAAATCATTCTTATTTTTGTTGCTATAACGTGTTCTCTTTTCTTCAAAGAATCTATGCAAAGGTTTACGCTTTTGTTTATTCCCTCTATTTTTCGTTTCTCTTTTTAACAACCAACAAGTTTTTGCCCTATATATATAAAGGGCAAAAATTTACGAATATTTCTTAGGCGAAATTGAAAGAAGGTGTATTCGATGAACCTCAGATTCGGACATTGTTCAAGGATGCATTCATCACTACAATGAGTAGCGTTGAGAAGAGCGATTGTAGTAGTTTCAAAGTTGTAGCGACAATTTTTTTAGGAAACAACAAGAGTCCAAAATACGAAGAAATTATATTAAAATTGATAAAAGACTTCCAAGACCTGGGATGTTTGATGGACTACAAGTTGCACTTCCTTCATTCACATCTGGATTGGTTCAGGAAAATCTTAGAGATTATAGCGAAAAACAAGGCGAACGATTTCATCAGGATATGAAGGTTATAGAATAGCGATATCAAGGAAGATGGGATTACAACATGATGGCCGATTTTTGTTGGTTGTTAAAAAGAGAAACGAAAAATAGAGGAACTAAACAAATGCGTAACCCTTTGCATAGATCCTTTGAATAAAGCAGAACACGTTATGGTAACCAAAATAAGAATGGTTTGTAGATATCGTTTTCTTTTATTTAAAAAGTATGGTATTCTACAAGTTTTATTGCATTCTCAATCTTCTTGGCTAGGTTATCACATTTCTCAGTACAAAAAGTAGATGGATAAATGGGTGGATGGGTATTGGGTGGATTTTATAGGTGGTACAGGTGGCTGGATAAATATGCGTATTCATGCATGAACGACTGGATAGAAATATGTATGAATTCATAAATGGGTGGGTGGATAAAAAGATGGATCCAGAACTCTGCAACACGAATTATGCCATGAAAATGGCGTTTTTGATTTTGATCTATTTTCTGTTTTTGAATGAAATTGGACCAGCTTGTCTGACTCTATGATGATAAATTGGAATTAAACGAGCAAAAAATCATACGTTTAGTGAGCTGGTTGAATAATTTGACTTTTTATAACTTTCGTCGATCGTAAATGACGTTTTTTGTAAATTTTGACCTATTTTTTGAATTTTTCCGAAAACTCAGACCCGTTGGGCCAAATCTGAAGACAGATTCGGATTCAGCGGAAAAAAATACATGGAAATACATGGGTCTGAATATCAACCCCGAACCTTTTTTTTGTGGAGCTGTGTAATTGAAGGAAATAGAAGCGGAAACATCATTGAACAACTAACTTGTGAAGCTATGTAATTTAGTAACCTAAAACATAATTTAAAACCATAATTTTGAGAATTTTGTAGTAGTACCACTAATGTATATGGAATTTCTAATAATAATTATATATTTTGATTTTTAATTTCCAAATACTGAGATATTTTATGTGAGAAATTGGTAATAAAAAAGGGGAAAACAACGTTGAACAACGCGCGCATATTACCACTGCTACTAGATTAAGATATCCTAAAAATTATATTTGTCACCAGCAGAACATAATAATATGAGTATATCCCACTATACAGGCTGTTACAAATTTGCTTCTCACTACAAGGATCTCGGAAACGGTAAAAGATACGAAGTAGCTTAAATGGGGGCAAAGTTGTATAATCAGGGGACCAACATTATGCCTCTAAAAAAAAGCTAACATGATTAGTTTTCGAAATATTTGAAAAAATCGAAATGTTGGAAATCCATTTTTGTTTAATTTCAGCCCAGTTAGACTAATCATGTTAGCCTTGATTTTTTTACAGGCATAATATTGGTCCCCTGATTATGCAAATATAAGTATAGGTTATATCTCAGCGTTAAGAATTTGTATTCCACTTTCTATTTTAATAACGCTCCACTTCTGTCTCTTTGTCATTATCTTGTCAACTATTTCCTTGTCTTCATAGAAACCCCCTTCTAGCGAAATCGTCCCCCAATCCACTTCTTCCTCACGTTCTTTGTCTCTGTCATTTTTACCCCTATTGTCGATTTATATGTTTTCGTATCAGTAAGCTTCTGTGGTATTGCTGTAATTTTTTCCTGCAAAGTTCTCTTTTGTTACAGTTGGAAGCTATTTTTTTTTGGTAACCTTATCATTCGATCATTGTGTTTCGCTTTTCCCGAGAATTGTGTTTATTGTCTTCCAGAATATTTTTAATTGTATAGGTATTACATTAAGTTTGCGATTGTTCGGAACTGAACGAACTAAATTAAATTAATTTATTCCAGAGGAGGCAGTTATTTCCTTAAATTATTACGTTGGGAGGGCGATCGGTGAAATTCAGAAAATCTAGTCATATTTCCTGCTCCGATGGTCTTGAAAACTACGTTAGGGGTGTCGCGCGGCGGCGGGCAAATGACTTGTGAACAAATGAAGTGTGAGAGATGGCCTGACGTCCGCGAAAATTTACAGTCTGACGGTTTTATAACTAGACTCGAAAATAAATGTATCAATTTCATAGGGCTCTTCAGATTTTTACGACAAAAAAGTATGGCAGTTTTAACGAGTTTTGTTTCGCTTGTTGCGACTATAAAAGAACTCTCAAAAGTCAACAGATTGCTTATAAAACATTTCATTCCCTGTCAGACACGTACTTTTATTGTGCATCTGCAATCCGCTGCTTTCATTTTACTCACCAAAAAACAACAGGAAAATTTACAAAAATTACTCAGTAATATTGTTATACGGGGTGTTCCAATATGCCATGTGTATCAATACGCTGCACATTGCATACAATACACAGTAAGATCATACTGCAGGAGTATCCTAGATATCACTCGAAATCAGTAATGTACTCCTGCAGTTCTTGATG